TTTTTAGAGACGGGGTCTTGCTGTGTTGCCCAGGCTGGAGCGCAGTGGCTATTCACAGGCGCGATCCCACTTCTGATCAGCACGGGAGTTTTGACCTGCTCTGTTTCTGACCTGGGCTGGCTCACCCCTCCTTAGGCAACCTGGTGGTCCCCTGCTCCCGGGAGGTCACTATATTGATGCTGAACTTAGTGTGGACACCCGATCGGCACAGCACACTACAGCCCAGAACTCCTGGGCTCAAGCGATCCCCCCACCTCAGCCTCCCGAGTAGCTGGGACTACAGGCACGCACCACCACGCCCGGCTAGATTTTTTTTGGGGGGGAGCAGAGTCTTGCTCTGTTGCCTAGGCTGGAGTGCAGTGGCATGACCCAGCTCCCTGTAGCCTCGAAATCCCAGGCTCAAGTGATCCTCCCACCTTAGACTCCTGAGTAGCTAATTTAAAAAATAATTTTAAAAATGTATATATATATATCAATAATTACTAACATTTTTAAAAACATTTCTTGTAGAGACAGGATCTCGCTATGTTGACAGGGCTGGTCTCAAACTGCTGGACTCGAACGAGCCTCCCGCCTCAGTCTCCCAAAGTGCTGGGATTACAGGCATGATCCACCATCCCAGCCTGAATTTTGTATTCCCACAGCAGCTGGCTATTGGCCAGGGGTCAGGAGCCTGCAGTGGTGTGTGGGGAATAAATACTCATAGACACTTCCAGTTCTCCTAAGTACAGGAGGGCTTGCAACAGTACGCAACATTTTGAATGTGTGTACGTGTGGTTTTCTGGGGACAAGGTCTATAATTTTCATCAGATTTGTTAAAGGAATCCACGTTGTAGGTCATGTCCTCCCAGAAGCAAACCCTGAGATGAAGAGTCATATGTCAGCTTATAAAGAAGTGGTCCCAGAGGGCCAAGCGCAGTGGCTCATGCCTGGAATCCCAACACTTTGGGAGGCTGAAGAGGGCAGATCACCTGAGGTCAGAAGATTGAGACCAGCCTAGCCGATATGGCGAAACCCCATCTCTACTAAAAATATAAAAAGTAGCCAGGCATAGTGGTAATAGGGGCACCTGTAATCCTAGCTACTCTGGAGGCTGAAGCAGGAGAATCTCTTAAACCCAGGAGGCGGAGGTTGCAGTGAACTGAAATTGCGCCACTGCACTCCAGCCTGGGTGACAGAAAAACAAAAAACTTAGTTGGTCACAGTGGCCTGTACTGTAGTCCCAGCTAGTTGGGGTGCTGAGACACAAGAATCACTTGAACCCGGGAGGGGAAGTTGCAGTGAGCCAAGATCGTGCCACTGCACTCCAGCCTGGGTGACAGAATGAGGCCCTGTCTTAAAAAAAATCAAAAACAGTAATCCCAGCTCCTCGGGAGGCTGAGACAGAAGGATCGTTTGAAGCAGGGAGCCGGCCGTTGCAGTGAGCTGAGATCGAGCCTCTGTACTCTGGCCTGATGACAGAACAAGACTTGGTCTCAAAAAAAAAAAAAAAAAAGTACTCATGAGCTGACATTAAAGTAAGGAATACTCCGGCCAAAAAGAAGGAAAAGCTAGAATCCAGACAGTAAACTGAGCAATGAAATCAGCCTT